CTTCCCTGGGGCACTCCAAGGTTATTCCCCACGGGACTGGAAACAGAATCATTAAAAACAGTCCGTTGAGTTCTGTCAGATAAATAGCTTTCAAACCATTTATAAGCAGTACTCGTAATTCCAAAGCGCTTGATTGTACTTAACAGTAAGGGCCTAGAAATTGTTTCAAAAGCGCGTTTCAGATCCAAAAAAACAGCAACAGTCGTATCTTTACGCTCCAAGTTGTCTTTCCACTTTGCTAACACCAAATTCAACGCAGTTTCACAGGAATGACCTTCCCGATATCCTGATTGTTCTGGTATCAACAAAGAGTTGCTATTCAAATACTCCAACAGCTGGCCTTTAACAACAAGTTCTAAAATTTTCTCTAATGTGTGCAACATGTTGATGGGACGAAACTCTTCGGCTTTAATCGTTCCAGCAACTTTTTGAATAGGAACCACTAAGGATTCCTTCCAAATTTGTGGCACATGTCCAGTCTGCAAAGATTCATTAATAAGGTCCAGCAAGATGTGGCCAATGACATGAAAGCAATCTTGAATAACTCTAGAATTAACATTATCTACTCCAGCCGATTTTCCTAATGAAAAGCAAATAACTCTAAGTTCATCTAAAGTAATTTGGTGAAAACCTTCAAATCTACAACTACTATTAACTGGCTGTTTTATTTCGTCAGGTTCATCGACCAATTCAATGGATTGATTAATCAATGAAACACTTTCGACAAAATAATCATTAAACATAGATGCAATTACTGGTTCTGACTGTTCTAATGTGCCATTAAAAGTTATGGACCGCGGTTTGCAATTACTAGGTTTTAATAAAGATTTCAAAATTTTCCATAACTCTTTGCTGTTGTTTTGATGCTGATCAATCTTCCTCTGGACATATTCACAACGAGTTTGTTTTATCGATTGTGAATATTTATTACGCGCGATTGTGTACCTATTCCAATGATTATCATTATTTGATCTGCAAAACTTTTTGTACCATTTGTCCCTCTTACGTTTAAGACGCAAAAGTTCCAAATTGTACCAGCTGTTCGAGTTTTTCAAAGAAACAAACTTTTGCTCAACTAATTGATTGGTACACGTTTTCAAAGTGTTAGTTAGAACAGCTGCAGATTCATCTAAATTACCGGCCGCGAATGGAAAATCCACGCTTCTCTCAACAAGATTTGAAACAGCCTGTTTCGAATATTTCCTCCAGCACTTCAATTTGACTAAGTCATCGTTATTATTGATATTATCTAATACATTAATCACTAAGGTCTCATGATCGGTTATTTTCAAATCAGCATCCGGAACTGAACAAATGGAATCAAAATTGGAATAAACGTGGTCAATTAAAGTTCTACTGTGCCTGGAAATACGCGTATACTCATCTACCGTTTGTTTTAAATTGAAAAAATCAGCTAAACGCTTCAAATGATTCGAATTATGGTTGTCACGCCAATTAATATTAAAATCACCAGCTAATATATTTAATTTTCTTGAATCAAGGAATGTCTCTAGCCAGTTCTCTAAAACATCAACAAAACGCTGGTCACTAGAACTGGGAGAATGATACAAAACACCATAATTACCCATCTTCATGCCACGCACAACTGTAATGCCCAAGAACCAGTTACCATCGATAACTTCGTTGATTCGAAGGTCGAATTGAATTGATTCTTTGACATAAATAGCAACACCGCCAGTGTGTCTAGAATGTGATAAACAAGCAGCAACAATATATCCCGGAATACTATACTGATCAAAAGCTTCAGTTTCTACAATATGAGTTTCAGATAATAAAACTAAAAGAGGACGTTTTTCCTCAACAATCTGACGTAATGCTACGTAGTTTGTTGACAACCCCGCAATATTCAAATATAAAAAATCGAATTGATTCACATTCCTGGAACTTGGCTGCTATTTATTGAAACGCAAGCTGCTTTTCTTCTGTTCAAAAAGTCTTTTATAGAGCAAACATTCAGGACTAAATGCGGCATGGTTGACGTCCAAGTTCATTTTACGTTCTTTATTCATTTTCAAACAATTAACACATTTCAATACAGTTGACGTACACTCCGATGTTTTGTGTTGTTGGCTGCACCTAGAGCATCTCTCACAATTTTTGCAATCCATGCTCTTGTGCCCAAATTCTCCACATTTGAAACACCTCAATACATTAATCGCGGGAACTATAGAGCACCGATCAAACCCTACATTTACTTTTTTCGCGCATAACAAACATTTATACGTATCGAAATCGACTTCAATCACAACACTGAACTTGTTGTACGTGAAGCGTGGATTTTCAAACATGTTAACTACTTTTACATCATTTATAGCGATGTCTTCATTTTGACTTTTTAAATAGTCAATGAAGACATCGGAGGAATACTGATCGCTCATGCCCACTATTTTCAATCTCGGCACCGAAGTGGGAACAACAGCACTATAGTTTTCACCCAGATTGCTTTCAATACCATTTTTGACATCACTTACATTTGCTCCTGTTGCACACTCAACAATAATGGAGCCATCTTTACCATTTCTAAAATTACTGATTTTGTGTGTTTTTGGATCCAACTGAGTTTTCAAAAACTTACGAGTGTCTTCGCAAGCTTGTTTGGACTCTTTCGGTTTAATCACAATGACCGGACGAGTCTTACGATTATCTTGTTTGTTACTGTTACTGTTATTTTTACTGTTACTGTTACTAACATGTTTACTTTTACTAGCACGACTGTCTCTTTTTACAACATCCGCAAAACTCGCATTTTCTTGAAAAACATCATCATTATCACTATTACTGATTACTAATTTACGTTTTTTGCGTCTGGTATTTTGGTCCGATTCCGACTGAATCGTCCTAGATACACTGCACTGATCATTCATTACCGCTAATTTGTTTTCCGCATCAATTTTAAAAAATGAACTTTTCATATTATCCAATTTCTCACAAATTAAATTTTCAAAACCATTTACATTTCGGCTTATATCTGCCATCCCGCTTTTAACCGCGATGTCTATCTGAGCAGCAATGTGATCTCGTATGCCAGTGATAGAGTCCGAGAGTTGAAAAACTTTCTTCATCTCTTCTTCTATCCTATTGACGCGTGAGATCAGATCATTCTGCTCGCCACAACACTGACCTGATAGACAGTTACCACAAGAGAATTTAATATTTTCGACAGCGTCAAGGAGAGGTTATTGAGCAGCAATTTTGAGTTAAATTCCATGGAAGTTGAAACTCACAACATCTCAGGATAGTGTATGAAAATTTTGAGAAGAATTCAACAGAATTAAAAAAATATTTGTAACGGAATTTTAGGAAAAGTTTGTAAGAAATTGTGATACAATTTAGTGAAAAATTCTAGAGAAATTTAGAAGGAATGAAAATAATTATGAGGATGAAAAAAAAAAAGAAGTCCGAAAAGGAATATGAAAGCCGAGGGAATCTTAATTTTATAAAAGTTTCGTGCATTCCACAAACTGAAAGCATTCTACGGGTCGCAAAACTCACTCGGCGGCCGCATTTTGGACTTTAATTTAAAATGATTTCTCTAATTCATTTTACGCGATATTTGTAGGATAGGTGAATTAATCCAAGTGGATGCAAAAACTATTAAAAGTTCATTTTTGATAAAAATGTGACTTACGCGGTTTCAAAAATAAATGATTCAAATAATGAATCACATCAATTTAACAGGGTTATCACAAATTAACAACTGATCATCAATCCGTTTAGCATGCTTTCGGTAATTGTATTAATTGGGTACTGCGACATTTTCAATATGTTTGTGCGAACTACTCAGTAATAACGAAAATAGGGTACTGTGGTATTTGGGCGTACCGGGTTGGTTTTATTCGGTACACCTCAGAATGTCTTGCACGGGTGGGAGTCTACAGGTTCCTTCCCCCCAGAAAGTGTCCGTGGTCTATGAACGGCTCCTTAAGTTAATAATTGGCGCTTTTTTAATTCCATGAAAGGTGTGTACATTGTTACTAATCATTTCAGAAAACTATGTGGCAACAGTCACGTACGCTTTTCTTAGAGACCAAAATCCACTCCAGAGCTTGTGTTCTTAAAAGCGGTTTTGGAAGTCAAAAGGGTATTTCACAATCATCCTAAATAACATTATGACACCTACACAGACACCTGTCGAATCGTGATTCATTCATAATGTTCTAATACGGCTGCTGCACGTTGCTTGTTACACAATTCTCCATCTAATCCACTGCAAACCGCTTACATTACAGACGGCCGCTGTTTTGTTTTTCCCGTTTAGAGCGAGAATGTTTTGATTTACAACTATTTATTTTCGTCTCTAGGTCAATATCTGCGGCCGTAACCGAGACACTGGCAAAGTGAGAGCGGACAAGCGCGCCCGCTCGCTTTTGTTATTATTGTGAAATTTCCGCTCCTCAGCGTGTCGCGCACGGACGATGAGAGCGACTCAAATTTGAGTTGGATTCGACTCAATTTTGAAAAAAAAAACAAACGTGAGTTGAATTTTCCTAGATTTTCCCCAAAGATCATTGGGGGAATATGGGGATAATCAACGAAAATTTCACTTAAATCCCCGTTTTGTAAAATTCAGTTGAATCCAACTCAATTTTGAGGTCGTCTCACCGTCCGTGTGCACTACACTTGCAACGTTCATTTGGCTGTACCACTGGTATGTATGTAAGTGCCTATATGTAGCCCGGGTGGAATGCACCTCGTCGAGGCGACTATCAGCTTGAAGCTGATATTTAAATTATCTCATACATTACAACCGTCACGTTCGAAAGCAAAAATGTAAACAAGCCTTCGTCGATCAACGGCGCACGTACGCACGCAATCATGTGCAGCGGTCATGATCATGCTTAAATTTAGAACTGACTTTTGTCGCTCTCGTGACTACCGTGAGAACATTCTAGTTTACACCATCTGCCTCAAACTCAAGACACACCCATTCTAAAACTATGTCAACAGCTACAACGCCAACAACAAACTTAGTTACTCACATTTCTTCAGCTCGATCGCCGTTACGCCGAACCAGCTCTCACCGGTTTCGGGATGGCGTAGTTCGACGATGAATCCGGCTTCGATCACCGCACAAAAGATTCGCTCCTCACCCCGATCGAACCACTTGGACTCGCGGAGCTTCTGAATCGCTACCGAACTGCCGAACGAACCACTCTTCACCGTGCGGGTCTTCTCCGAGTTTGGATGCCACCACTTGCTGAACGATATGTTAAAACTGTTCCTCCGCATCAACGTGTCCATGGCGGTCGCTTTGGGTTTCACTACTTTCGCCAGAATTTCACCTCACCAAAAAAATGTTTTTTGTCCAAACGATGTCTCAGGGTTCCTCGGTTATTGCCGAAGAAACAACTCACTGGAATTTTGCAACTCTTCTAACCGACTGGCGCCACTCAATAACCAATCAGTCTGCTATGCGGTGTCGACAGTCACCTATAAGAACTGCTCTACTCGTTCTAGTTTGTCCGGTACAAATTCTTGAACCCGTATCGATATGGATATTTTTTTCCAAACCAATCAACCTTTACTGCCTCTCTCTCTTCACAATAACTCACTGTTTGTTTGTTGCCCCAAGGGGGGAGATAACTTGTATGCAAAAGACGTGTGAATTACTTGGCTGCTCAGCCAGATCTGAACCGCGCGCGCTGCGACAACAACGACTTTGAGTGTCGGTCGAGGACTCATACACTAACAATAACCCTAACAACAAGACAAACAGACAGACAGCGATACCAGCAGCGCCAAGGAGGTGTGGGTAGTAGTCTAGTGGTAGTAGGCCTGTCGTAATCGATCCCGGTTGGTGGCGGTGAAATCCGTGCCTGTTCATGCCCCCTCGCTCTCTGGACACGGGACCGGCATGGACGTGGGTGATTGGTGAAGTGGGCGCATAAAGCGGAGCGGGATGGCGCCCATCAGGAGCACTTGTTTTAAATAAGTATACGCTACTATACAAACTTGTTTGGATCGGTTTGCGTGCTCGATGGACCGTTGGTTTGAGCATGTTGATTAGGGTGGGTCAAGTTTGTATGGTGGATCACAGGCCCGCTGTTTCCCATCGCTCTTCCGATGTGAGGTATCCAACAACCAGCGTTGCCAGGTCATTTTCATAAAAACCTGGAAAAACCTGGAATGCACCAAAAATCCTGTTTTTAACATAATGCTATTGAAATCAAAGTGATGTGCCAAACTCCCGTAAAAATCGGTCAGTATGATCATCTGGAATGTATTCAAAGTATCAGAATGTTTATGAATTACATGTTTAAATAAATTATATAAAACAAATAACTTGTTAGCATTGCTTAAATCGTCCAAAGGTTCAGCAAAGTATTGACACAGTGTGCCCAAAAAGTTTGAATATACATTACGCAGCATTTCAGAAAATTGAGGTAAATCAATGGTAAAATACTGCAGAAAATATTTTTAGAATTGCTTTTTAAACTGTAACTTTTTTTTTAAAGAACGAAAAGCAAAGAATCAAGCAACTTTGATGGGATGGATTTTTTAAAACTAATAGTCGATGTAGTCTTTACTTTTTGATGCAGTACCATAATATGTCTTGAAGATTTTAATAGTTCTAAATAATTATATATTACCCTGAGGTTGATTAGACTAACAATGTAATTTTTGACATCATAGTAAGCAGTATGCAATTTTATTTTAAAGTAAAATTCACCAGGCTGAAGTGGAAATCAAAGCCTAACATCGTGGTATTCACACACAGTTTACCTAAACTACAGGTTACTCACCTGTTTGCATTACTATTACGATTAATTTTATTATATAACTTAAATAAAAGTCTGAAAGCGGAATTTATATATTTCCTGGGTCCCAGATCATGAAACTTTTTGTTAGTCTGAATTTACATGGAACTCTTTACAGGATATCTTTGTCCTTTTTTCAGAGTTCCATTTGAATCATCCTAGAATTCCATCATACTTCTTCTCTGGATTCCCCTAAAATAATCATTCAAGAGATCTCTTGTTATCTCTTATAACTCACCCTCCGATTCCAAAACTCCCTCAAACTAGCAATAATTTCCAAGAATCGGCATTATTTTGTTTTCATCTTTCTCTATGAAATTCCATTAGAATATTCTTAATAATTTACTTGGCACACTCTTCAGAATGACCGTCACACTATTCTCAGACTAATATTATAATTAATTCACTTTGAGCTGCTTGGTAGGTAAGGTCAGATTTTTTTTTAAATCCTTTTCTGTATTTGCTAAGTACTCAAATACTTTGCCAGAAAGGCATTGAAAGTCTCCCAGAAATTGATTAAATTTCTTAAAATTTTATAAAAATGAATCTCCAAAGAAACATTCAACCGAATTCCATTGAAATTATTCTCACGATACGTATCAGCATACTCCTTAAGTTTCATCATAAGAACTTTCATTGATTTCTCTTCCGAGTTCTATTTTAATTCTTCACAAAATCTCTATGCAATTTTCATCAGAGTTTTTGAAAGACAATACACTGTCAATGACACTGTCTTCAACCAGAGGTTGCACAGATGAAAACTTAGCACTAGAAAACTGACAACACACCGCACCCAGTAGACCAGTAGGGAAATTTTCAGGTTGCGAAAAGTTCCACTGGTTGGAGCGGGAATCGAACCCTCACTTTGTGGCACTCACAATACGCCTGAAGGACGGGTGACACCGCACGACCACGAAGCTTACAAAGATGGATGAAACTTTTTTCAACATTACCTTAAAATACTGAAATTCAAGGGCAATTCAGAATTCTAAAGGAATTCAGACTGCAGTAACTCAATATTCACAGGTACCGTAAAACGGGGTATCTTTGATAATTTGGGTAACTTTGATAGTAAAATATAACGATTCTATTTAATCTCTGCCTTTTTTTCGAATTAGAAACATTGGTTCCATATTGTAGCTTAGGGCATTTCCCTTGATATTGCATATAGTTTTTATATAGTTCGTGTTACATATTTGCCAAACATATTGAAAAACAAATTTTCTTGCTTTTTGCTTGTTTGAAAAAGCAGTCAAACCATCACTTATGAAATGTGTTTCTGATATAGCCATCACAAATTCAATGTTGTCTTATTATTGCTTATGGTGTTTCTGATTTTATACTCATTCAAAGTTTCATATTTGTTGAACTAAATCGTTTGAGATTCACGCATGTTTGTCTACATTCATCAAGCATTATCAAAGTAACCTCAAATCAAAATGCTGATGTTCGGTCATAAGACTTAAAAAAAAAATGCAAATGAAATAATTTTCTTTAAACATATTACTAACGAAGCCGGCGCCGGTGGTGCAGTGGTAAGCGTGACTGCTTTCTCACCCCAATGCGTCTGGGTTCAATCCCAGCCGAGGTCGGTGGGATTTTTCTGAGGCATAAAAATCTCTGGTCACGTCTTCCTTCGGAAGGGAAGTAAATCCGTTGGTCCCGGCCCATATATGTGTTTGAATGGGTGCGATATTCTACGCAGGTGGGGAAGCTGCCTTCCTTGCACATTCGATTGCCGTCAATGGATGGGAATCGATGTCCGTCGGTGATTAGCACTAGATTGCGGAACAGAGACCGACGTTAAATAAAAAAAATATTACTAACGAAGTGACTCTAGGATCATCAGTACTTGTTTTAAACAAATAAAATTTGAGAAACATTAATTGATGTAAAAAATATTTAGAATATACTTTGAAAAAAAACCATCAATGTTACCCCATTTTACGGTACTTAAAAAAAAGCTAAAAATTATCAGAAGCCTTTCAAATTTTCCTTATGAATTATCCTCAAAAATCTCACTTACATACTTCAAAGTCCTGGTGGTTGTCTAGATTCAAAAGCCTTGCTAATTTTCCAAGCCTGAATTTACCGTATGCGTGATAATGTTTGCACCATTGAGCAATGTTAAAATAAAAAAAAAATCTCAAAAATTTCGTTTTTGAGTTTTTTTTTGTTTATTAAAAGGGGTGATGTTTCTCAGAGCCTTAAACTATGTTAATCATCGATCGAGTTTCCACTTGCTGTAATTTCGGCCTCCACACGCTTCCGGAATGCACGGCAGGTTCTAATAATGTAGTCTGGATTCATTTCTCTCCAGATACGGGTCAATGTTTGTCTGAGGCTTGCTGTACTCGGGTGGCGTTTAGAACAGGCCTTGGCCTTTATGACGGGCCATATTGAGTAATCCAGCGGATTAAGATCGGGGCTGGATGGCGGCCACATATCCTTCGCCCAGAACGGAAGATGTTCCTGCAACCACTTCTGAGTGCGGTTCGAGGTGTGGCACGGAGCCCCATCTTGTTGAAATACAACATTTGGTTCGGACCGTACTGTTCTTTGATCCACGGAAGAACATACTTACTTAAAATCCCGATGTAGACCTCCGTGTTGACCTTGTCGCCTTCTGGAATAAACACCGGGTCCATTTTTTTTTCCATCGGAGACCACCAATCCAAACACCATAACGCTAGCAGGATGCTTGGTCAGATACCCGTTCTTGTGCTCGTCGGCCACGTCTTTTACCGGAAGAGAACTAATATACCGGTCGGTTCTGGAATTTGATACGGGATCGACGGTAAACATGCTCTCGTCGATGAACAGGATTACCGGATTGTTCGCTTAAGGAAGTTCAAGATTTTCTTGCATCGTTCGACTCGTAGCTCCCGGATGCGGTTGGTGATGATGTGAGTTATTTTTTCGTGCCCTCGACTTCACCCCGCAGTCATTGATCCCGTGTTCCTTTGCCATTTTCCTTTTTGAACGCACTGGATTCACCCGAATCTTCCTTTTGATAGCAGCGATAACTCTCGGAACCCGAGCTGACCTCGCACGACCTGTGGCCACCTTCGCGGATAGTTATCCTTTCATTTCTCGGTCTAAAGCCCTTTTGACGGTCCACTGGGACACTCCCACGGCGATTGAAATGTCTTTTTGCGACATTTGCATGGGACAAATCACGAATACGCTGCCACTTCGTCATGGTGCAACTTTCAAACTAAGTAAATCATTTTCTTTTATACACAGCCTACTACGGTATGAGCTATAGATTACGTGCATGCAAAGAAAACCAAGGCATTGTATGCACGGGTGAAACGGGAACCTTATTTGTACGATGGTGCAAACATTATCACGCATACGGTATTGTTTTCAATCCTGAACAGTTTGCGATTGCTCCAAACTAAAAAATTATGAAAATTCCTCCATATTGAAATTTTGATTTTTTTTTTAAATAGAAAATAAATAAAAATTCTAAATAAACAGACATTCAGGACCCACTATTTTTAAAAATTGAAGTTTTTTTTTCAGCAAATAATCTTTAGAAAATGGCTCGATTTTCATGATTTTGCAACCCATTAACATGCAAACATGTTGTAGCAATTCCATGTACGATGTTGATAATTTCCAACGTTGATGGCCTTTAATAATTAAGGAAGCAGTTTTTTTTTTATTATAGTCTAAACCAATTGCAATAATATTTTTAAAGCAATATTTTTGAAAAATCTGGAAATATACGTGATCTGGCCGGATGACCGAAAATCTGGAAATTCCAGATAAATATGGAATACTGGCAACGCTGCCAACAACGGTGCCCAATTGGAACGAATTTATTTATGATATGAGCAATTTCTTAAGAATTCGCACATCGGTTTATTTTTTGATTTGGTTGAAAATTTGCGGAAACGTTC